CGGGGCTAGGTAGCAATCACGAAAAATCGCTCCATAACATTTTCTTCTGGGGAGACCGACTTCATGCTTAGGGCTTTCAATTTTGAGAACAACAGGGGATCCAGGGTTTAGGGTTTAGGGGTTTAGGGTTTAGGGAGCTACAGTCCCGGGTGTGAGTAAAGCCACAATCCCCACAGCCCTGAACTCGAAGGCCCCAGCCTTGAGTTCAGAAATCCTGCCGCACTACCTATAGTCTCCATTGTAGTTCCTTTTTGGGGTTACCTTTTAGGATCCTTAGTATAGAATTGGTTAAACCAAAAAAAAGGAACTACAATGGACACTATAGGTATGTTGAATTAGCATAACTCCCTTGTTGCATTGAGTACGTGAACTGATGCAGGTTTGGCAGCATCAAGCACGGGTAGTTGCTTGTGGAAGCTTAGAGGCTGAGAAGTCCTGAACCACACCCAGTGGTGTAGGGTGGAGGGCAGTAAATGGCGCCTCGGTTCCTGGCATATGCAAAAACCAGGTGTAACAAGGGTGTGGTGACCGACGGTTTCTCCGAGCAGCGTGCTCGTTGTCGATACTAGCGTCAAATAGCATGCCTTCTAGTTGTAGGGCCCTATACCCTGCAAACCCTAAGGCGTAACATTTCCTGGTGTAGTAGGGCCTGAATAATTTCGAGTTCCTATTATCATTTATTACAATAATACACCCACAAAAATTCAACCCAATTCAAATTTGCATCGCCCCTGCACTAGTCTACAGTTGGCATCACCGATGCAGGATGCTGTTGGCTATTCTGCTGCGATCCTGGCCTTCGAAAGATCAGGCACAGCCCCGTGTTTGGCGATGCGAGGGACCCTGGACACCGACATAAAACAAACCTTTCAATGCCCCTAAACTCCTAACATAAGAGCCTGCTTAAGAAAACCTGGGGCTTGGTTAGTTCTTTAGATGAATCCTAATGTTTTGGCGCTATAGGGCCAGGGTTTCTTAATCAGGTTCCTACATTAAGCCCAAGAGTGTAGTGTCGAGTTTCAAGCTTGTCTTGTAAACCATGAAACCCTTCACCCATAACCCGAAAATCTTCTCACGCTTTACCAAGGATCGGTGCATGTTGGGATCCCGGCTTTGCAGCTTAGGGTCCAGGGTGGTGTTTTAGATCTACACTATTGAAGGCTATTGGAGACTATTTGTTCGTCATGTAAGAACTACTAATACTAACAGTATTTCGAGTAGCACTTACTGCCACTTCTACCCTTACAATTACGAAAATACAATTCCTATTACTGTTAACAGGTTACTGTTAACAGGTACTATTCCTATTAAATTATACTGCAACTCCTAGCTGGCTCTTTGCACAATGGTGAACTTCATGTCCGCATCTAGGATTACTAGTATAAGACATAAATAAGGTAGTCTGAATTTTAAGAAGACCGTACCTGGTGATGCCATCTACTGAATGTAAGCATCCCTCTTCTGACAATGTTCGTCGCTGCCACCAGCAATGGCGTATCGGTTTATCTGCCATCAGTACCAAGCCTCCGGCGCTGAAGTGTCGCCACTCCTATTGTTAATACCCCTGAGCAGCTGAACATCTATCATACCGCGCACGGTTCACGTGCCAACCCAAGAAGCACCACAAAATCGGCCTGGATGAAGTCTAGAAAGCGAAAGCCCCTGAAGACCAGACCCAAAATTTCTAAACCCTAAACCCAGAGTCAAGAGCCCCACTCAACAGCACCCGAAGAAGGCGAATCCCAGCTTGTTCTGCGCTTCCTGGCGGGAATGGTCCGAAGCACACTTGCTCCGGCCACTTGTCCCCCACTTCAGCGACTGTGAATTGGTTTCGGGCCATGTGGGCGAACCTTCAGGGGAAATCTTCAAGTTATAGATTGGGGGCACAGATTGAAGAACTGCTTGCTGACATCGCAATGGCCTTCAAGGTCCCGCCATAAGCAAGCCAGCCGTAGCCCTAGAGATCTGGGCCTCAGGTGCCACTGCTTGATGCCCAAATGTGATAAGCCAGATTTGCCACAGCATCCCACCAGCCTGTCGAGATGCAACAGCAGAAGCTCCACACTCTTTTGTTTACTTGTCGGTTTAGATCGCTCTTGCCCCAAGCATTGTTTAGGTACACTCCGACTCCCCGCTACCCCTGCATTGTGTCCTATTTCTTTCTCCAGCCTGCAACAGCACAGGTTAGTCCCAAATCTGAAGCGCTTACGATAGAAGCCTGATCTAATTACTAAACCTATTGTTGAGGGTTCATTCATCTTCACCATACTACGACATACCCCAAAATTCCGATTTTACCTACTCTAAGGGGCCTAACTATAGGGGTAATATTATAGATAAATTAAAACATGACTGAATAGATAGATATATACAACCCTAAACCGTGTATATATATATATACATATACAAAAACTATGCTGAAGCATCGGCTCCTGTCAGGATCCCCGCGCAGTCGAGGCCGCTGTCCGAGCGGCATCGTTGTACTTCGACGCACTTCTTCGGCTCAGGGTCTCTAAGGGCTTTCAGGTTTAGGATCAAGGACTAGGGATTAGGAGTCAGTTCTGTAGGGTTTACGGGTTTAGGGTTCAGTTCAGGCTGAACTTTTGCCCGAAAAGTTTGGCAGCTTCGGTTTGGAACAGGTGCGCCCTACAAGGCTGATTCAGGGTCACTGGATGAGGCTTGAACCAACCTGCGCGTTCGCTCTTATCCAAAACGGCTTTCCTCGTTGGTTGGGAACAACTTTTTCTGCTTTCTCAGAAGAAGGCCTGCAAGCGTTGCCGTTTATGATCATTGCATGACTTCCGTTGCTTATTGCTGCTTCCCTCCAGTTCTACCGGACTTTTCGTACTTTATTGCTGCCTCCAGTTTTGCCAGGCAGTAGCAGAGCGAACGGAGTGCAGCAGTGAAAGTGTTGCCGCTTGTGGTGGCGGTAGTGGTAGTAGAAGTGGTGGTCGTCGTCGAGGTTGTGGTGGAGGTTGCGGCCTTTGCTTTGTCGTCGTGGTGGTTGTCGTACCCCTGTGGCCATGGTCGTGGCCATGATGCTCGTGCCACTAAAGTAATTACTGGTATACGTGCTCTTCTTGCTAGACCTGCAATTCGCCGCGTGCTGGATGGTTAGAGGTATGTGCATAGACGGCACATGCAGACTATGTCTGCCATAGGAAACAGTCTGGAAATCTCCGCGGCAACGCGGACCTACGAGCGTCAGAAACGGGTTGTTTCCAGGATTCTTGCCTGATGAGGCCTGCTACCTGTCGAAGCCTCACCTCATTCCTTGCTACAGCCAACCAACTAAATTTAAATACTCAGTTCTAAGTTCTAAGGGGCCATAAACGCTTGTTTCAGAGGCACTTTGGGAGGGCCTATACTTTAAGCCTAACCCCAAATCCAAAGCCTCAAGGCCTCGAGCCCGAAGCTCCCCGAGCTCTTGCCAAAATCCCTCACCCCCGTCGGTTTAGGGTTGAGCGACCCTAAACCCTAAACCCTGGACTCGTCCTTGCTAAGTGGGAGGGGAAAAACCCTATAGACCCCAAACTTCTAAACCCTAAACCCTAGACCCTAAACCCTAGACCCTAAACTTCTACACCCTAAACCCTAAAGCCTATGGACCCTAAACCCTAAACCAACGACTGAGGGAGGACCTCCCAGCCCAGGCAAGGCGACCAAGCCAAGGTCGCGCAGCTCTTGAGCGCTTTGGCCGGCGAGGCCTTGCCAGCCCGGTATTCCGTGACAGCCTACTACCGTAGCCTAAGGGTCCAGGATGCATATATATATATATACACACATACATATACATACATACACATATGTATGTGTTCGTATCGAGATGTATATTTCGATTTATGATATGGAAATATGAATATAATACAAACATAGCCAACCTCCACTTGATGAACCTCCCGCACATGGGAAAGGCGATGATTTCTCACCCGGTACCCAGGTGACTCGAAGAGGCTGTTTGCCTACAAGAGACCCGAAGCCCTTCAGCCAAATTCTGAGCCTCAAATCGTATTCGGTTTGGATTCGGAGGATTCACAGTTGACGTTTGGGTGAGTGGAGGGAAGGAAACAAGGAAGCCCCATGGAACATCGAGATATAAAGCCCACACCAGCTCTATGCCATGCAATCTGCTGAGGGGTTGCGACCCTTTAGAGCCCAGAGCGAAATAGACGGCGTAGACCCTTATGCCCTAACGCAGAAAGCCCCACGTTTCAAACCCGAAGACCTCATACACCCTCATGCCACAAGCGCCGAACCCACTGCCCCTGCCACTGAGGCAAAAAGGGTCCCAACCTCAAACACCTCAAACACCCTAAACCCTAAAGCCCGAACCTTAAACCTCCAAACTTGCAGTTCAGCCCCGGCGGCGCAGACAAGACCCCACCCAAGACGACCCTCTGCATAGTTTTGAGCTCCAGGCTTACGGGTTTCGCATTCCGCATTGTAGGGTGCAGTTAGGCCTGAATCGTTCGATCCGCTGCCATGTCTACCTGGAGGCCAACCAACTGCTGCTGGATGGTGCGAGGGCAAAAGAAAAGCATGGGGCTCATAGTTGCAATGTGCAGATTGCAGGCTTGGTTCCTGACTATTTATGACTGTGGCTCCAGCTTTACGTCATTGGCAACCGATGTTGAATAGCCTGAATCCAGGTTTCTCTGACCCAGCCTTAGGTAATAAATCCCCAAGCCCTACACCCTGACATCCCAAACCCTGAACCCAAATGCTAGCCCTAAGCCCTATACAATTCACTCAGTATCCGGAAGCTGTGCTTTCTTTCTGGAACCGAACCCACCAAGCATCCTCCGCCCTCATGGTCTCGCAAAGCTCCAACACAAAATTCAAAGCTTCAGCCTCTTAGCCCGAAAACCTTAGGCATCCCTAACCCAGATCGAACCCTAGACCCAAACCCCACTAAACGCGAAGCCGAAGCCCTGGGAAATCCTGATTAAGTTCCGCAAAGGAAACTCAAGCTACTAAGCTACCCAAACGCAGCAATGGCTATGAAGTCGCGGCGGGCCGGCGCCAGCGCAGTGGGGGTGGCCATACTCCTAGTGGCCTGGCTGGACATTTGGGAGGGGAGGCTCTCCTGACCCACAGAAATGCAGGAATAGACCTTAAACCATCGAGGTCGAGGGGTCCCTATTATGATTGAGAGTCGATTCCTGAATCAAGGGGGTTTTGGAATCCGCCGGCGATGGCTTGATGGCCTTCAACCAGAAGCTCTAAGGCTGTGGGATGGGGTTGGCTTACTAGATCAAAGCTGGGGTTTTGTAGCTAGGGCTCATGGGGCGCACTTAGAGGGTGCCTTGCAGAGCCTTTCGAAGCCTAGTATGCATGAGGAGTAGTCTGATCACCCAACCCTACACCGCGAAGCCCAAAGCCGAAATCGAAACCCACGCGATGATGCACCAGGTCGCCAGCACGTGGTCTCAAGCCTTCATCACAAGCCCGGGCCATTTCTGGACACAGTGCCCTAGGCACAGGGCGGCATCTCGGCCCGAACTCTTTGGTTCGACATCTTTAAGTCGAGCAGGTAACCTTTCACGTATCTGCGGTGTATTAAGCCCTGCATATGTCCCACTTTGTACTTGGCCCCCAAAAGGTATTTAATCACAGTTTTTGTTCCCCTAGGGAGCTAGATAAATCAGATAGAATGAGCTAGACCAGCAGCACACGCCTGTTGAGGATGGAGGGCTCTCGGTCCCCAACCCGTACCTGCACCCGAACAAAAGCCTATATCTCTAGAGTTCCTTATTGTGATTTCAAGGTCTTACAAAGATAGGTTATTTTCGGTTAAGGCAAGACCTACAGCTGGATAGGAAAGCCCGCCCAGAGTGACCAGAGGCTATTGTTCGCAGTCTAGTTGACATCTTAACTGCTGAGTAGCTCTGGGCAGGTGACGCTTCACTTCCGGGGCATGCGGTTGTTAGAACTACATATAGTGTTGGCATTTGTATGGATGTAAATACCCATTGCGATGACATGTTGACTAACACTTAGACTTACACACATGCTCTTTAACGTATTAGTGTGAAGATTCAAATCTTCATATGTAGTATTATGCTAATACCTATTTACATGCGTTTGCGAATCTTCGTATTGATACAGCATCATTATTGGTGTAGACATGCATATCAGGACTACACCATATGAAACACATATTCAATATATGACAACCATGTAATACTCCACTTGCACGAGCGATAAGCGAGCAATAGCACCATGAGCTTCGCTAAGCCACTGCCAAACTCTAGCAAACCCCACAGACGGTTGACCCCTGAATCCTAAAACCTCGCGCGCCCTAGAAAGGATCATCCAACTTGCCGCGGAGCGCAAGAGGCCGCGTTGGCGGAAAAGCAGCTGATGCCTGGCGATGCCGTTGCTTGGCTTTCCAAAGAGCCCCAGCTCCAGCTACCTTCGAGATAGGCCGCGGTCCTTACATAACTATGGTACCGGACCCCATGATACAGCTGACGGGACTTCTTGCATTTCGGTTGAGGGTCGAGTTCCAGGTTTGGAGGTCGGCACCGTGGAAGCTCCCGGTTCAACAGAGGTTGGTCCCAACAAACTGTGGCCTTTCGAGTAGCACAATCCGATATCCGAACCACGGTGAGATCCTTTTCATCAAGCATGCACCGGGCTTCTTCATGAAGATTATCATCCCTTTGCTGAAAGCTGATTTAGGGCCTTCGGTTCCTGGATTGAGGTCCTGCGCACATTCAGCTTGAGATTCAGGCTTCAAAGTTCATGTCTCTGGATAGAGCTTCATGGTTTTGGCATGTTTTGGCTTTGATCAGGGTGTAAATTATACCCCTTTGCACCTTCGAATGTAAGGCTGAAAAACTAGATAAGGAAATTGCCTTGGTCTAGAGCATCTACGTTAACAAAACAACGGTGTGGTCCGTGAAAAAGGGCTCATAGGGTCTAGGGCGTAGGGCTGATATGCTAGAGGGCAGTTGGGCGGGATATGCAAACACTGAATCGCAGAGTCGTCGAAAGGTGCGTGTCTTGCATCCTGAACGCCAAGAGTGGTGTGAAGGCAACGGGACTCTGGGTTTCTGCGTTAACCGTTAAGGTTTGAATCAGAGCTTCGGGAGCAAACAGCCTCGGGTCCTGGCTCAGACCAGGAGCAGGAGCAGTAGGAGCAGGTAGTACAGTACGAGTACATACAAGCCGCGGTAGCAGTAGCAGTAGCGGTAGCAGTAGCAGCAGTAACAGTAGTAGGAGCAGCAGCAGCAGCAGCAGCAGCAGCAGCAGCAGTAGCAGGAGCAGCAGCAGCAGCAGTAGCAGTAGCAGTAGCAGGAGGAAAAAGGAGGAGTGGGAGCAGGAGTATGAGTAGGAGGGCTCTAGCAGCAGCAAAGGACAAGACTAAAGCATCAGACTTTTGCGTTTCTCTACGAAAGCAACTGAATCTGCATCGAGCCTAACACTGCCACAGTAACGCCCCACATCGCCGAAGCGCTGAATGCCGAAGTCCAAAGTCCGAGCCCCCAAGCCGAAGATGTCGTAGAGGGATGTTAGGGTTTGGGGTTTAGGTTTGTTTAAGAAGATCGTGCAACGGGGGCACTCTGGGGCACCGCCTGACAGGCGTCATCCAGGCGGTGAAAGCAGAGGGCCTCTACTCCGTAAAAGCGGATCCGTGGCTTCAGAGAAGCGCCAAACCTCCATGCAAAGCCCCAAACCCGGCCTCGAAGCAATGAACAAGACTTCACCTGCTGAACTTTCTCCGGCTGTATGAGGTTTGAGAATCCACCCAAAAACTATGCCCATTTATTCAGCTTCAGTAGATTCCCCTGGGCACGAGTCATTTGGCCTATATCATGGGACTTTGCAGTGGGGCTTGAACCGTTAGGGTTTTAAAGTGTAGGGTTTAGGGTTTAAGGTTGAAGTACGGGCATGGGCTGCAGCAGCTTCCTGGTTCATTGCGAGCAATATACATAAGAAGTAGCAACATCCGCATATAATAAAAACTGCTTTCTTGCCGTGATACTAATCTACCCCAAAGCCCTTTTCCAATCATTCAGGCGCCCTTAGCCTGTCTTACCTACGAGCAGTGGAGCTATGGGATTCAGGGTGTACCAAGACAGTGTAGTGCAAAGCTTTCGTGAGAAGTACAGCCCAGGAGCCGATAGCTTTGCGCAGTGATACATACGAATCCGCCTTGTGTTTTAAGTCTAGCGCCGTTCCCTTGGAGATTGAGGCCGTGTGCTTGCAATCGCGGTTTAATTTCAGCATTTTTTGCTGACAATGTTTGGAAGGAAGGGCTTGTGATGTTTGTGGCCTGGAGTGAGGAACCCTAAACCCCATGCGAGTGTGAGAGTCGAAACCCCATAAACCCTAAACCCTAAGCCCCCTAAACCCTAAACCCATAAAGAGAGTGAGACACAGCGAGAGCGCCCCGCGCTTGTCTCAGCGTGTGTTGCTGCACGTGTTTGTATGTGGTTCATTGCTTGAAACTTTCCTTCTTCGTCCGTCCATGTCTGCGTTGGATCTGAAAGGTGTTACTAGCAGAATTGGGTTTGCATGCATGAGGACATGCCGGACAGAGATTCCGAGTGGCTCACCGTGGAAGAGGACGAGCTTGAGCCCATGTTCGTCTACAAGGACCCGGAAAGCGGCTAGACATGCGGGGCTCGTAATCTGTCACATGTACGTGTATAACGAATGAATCTGCGAACACCCGCCTGTATGGTACCTTGCATGCTCATCATCTTTGTCGGCACACCCATATGCGGTATGTGTATACATACTTCGATCTATACATCCCGAGACAAGATGCTGTAGTTCAAGGACAGCACTCAAACATGTTCCCCTGCACACCGAGTTCTGAAGGCAAAGCGAAGAAAGCCGAGTGACATACACAATACATTGGCTTGAACAAATTGTCCAAGATGTCTCTAGATCTTGTAATCCCTTTAACATTCTATTAAAATTTCCGGCAAACCCTATGTAGCACGCATATAAGTCTCCTGCATGTTCGTGGTTTGCCAAAGCCGGGAATCTTCAGTCAACTTTGGTCTAGGGTTAGGGCCCTAATGCCTGTGAGAGAGAGAGGGTTTAGGGCCCCTCGAGCAATAGGATTGGTTTCGACACAAACATGGAGATTCGGATGTGGCCGTTATGGAGTTCTGTCCTCTGGAAAGGGGGACCGCACTTGATAGATTCAAACAAGGCGCGCAAAGTATAACTTACGTTTCATGCAGAACTTGCTCTCTGGATCATCGCGGCCTTTCCACACTGAGTTGTTCAAGCATGTCAAGCCTCTGATAATCCGATACCTTGATCACTCCGACACCCCGAGTGCCGGTACCGGTACCACTTATAAGCAATGGTGGATCTGGGAGATTGGATTTGCAGGTGTGTCGAACCATTTTCAGCTTTGGCCACTCTGGGAGGCACGCGCAACAACAATTGCTCGTTCTCTCAGGCTGACAATTCTTTCCGAAGCCGATAGGCTCCTAATTTTTGTGGTTTATATTTAGAATCCTTTAAGGTAATCCCAAAAAGGAGCTACTTAGGGACCTATGGCTAAACCCTAAAGACCAGACCTCCAGCGCTGGCCTGCCAGGACTTCCGCAAAGGTAACCGAGTCCTCTTCGTGCTGCAGGGGGTCGGAGCAACGAGTCTTGGCTTTCTTCGGCCGCCTGAGATTGGGGAAAAGGGTTTAGGGGGGGTTATAGTCCGTGTGAGAGAGAAGGTTTACGGTCTAGGGTTGCCTCATCCTGCCTTCTGTGCTGTGGTTGATGGCGTCCGATGCTGGCCACGTTCTATGCGTGACCATCGGCAGATCACCATTTCAATACGAATCTGTTCATGTGTATACCGCATACGCGTGTGCATAAATACCTATAATAATCATAGTGCTCCTGCTACTAACAATAGTAATTGCAATACTGCTATCAATACGTATATTTGCATTTATTTCCATTATGATTACTGTTATTACTGTTAATATTGCGGTTCTCATTACTATCATTATTCTTCTTCTTATTATTATTAAT